TTTTTAAGGGTATGGAAAAATCAATTACTAAATCCATATGGAAAGGAAAGAGACCTCAGATAAGCACAGCACTACTGAAAAAGAAGAACAAAATGGGAGGGCTCACACTCCCAGATCTTAAAACCTACTACATAGCCACAGTAGTCAAAACAGTGTGGTATTGATACAATGATAGACAGATAGACCAGTGGAACAAAATTAAAACCCAAAAATAGACCCATCCATCTATGGACAGCTGATCTTTGACAAAGGACCAAAACCCATTAAATGGGGAAGAAATAGCCTCTTTAACAAATGGTGCTGGCAAAATTGGATATCCACCTGCAGAAAAATGAAACAAGGCCCATACCTCACCCCATACACAAAAACAAATTCAAGTTGGATCAAAGACTGAAATGTAAAACCCAAAACTATAAAGCTAATCAAAGATAAAGTAGGGGTAAATCTATGAGTCCTAATATATGGCCTAAATAGACTATCAAGCATAACCCAGAATGCACAAGAGGTGGAAGAGAAGCTAGACGACTGGGACCTTTTAAAAATTGAATTCATATGTGCACCAAAAGACTTCTCCAAAAGGGTTAAAAGGGAATCTACAGTTTGGGAGAAAATATTTGCCTATGACATATCTGACAAATGACTTATCTCCAAACTTTATAAAAAAACTTCAACACCTCAACACCAAAAAGACAAACCAGTTTAAAAATGGGCAAGGGACATGAGCAGTCACATAACTAAAGACGATATGCTGGCAGCTAACCAACACATGAGAAATTGCTCATGATCATTAGCCATTAGAGAGATACAAATGAAAACAAAGATGAGATATCATCTCACCCCAGCAATAATAGCAAAGTTCAACAGGACAGAAAATAACAAATGCTGCTGGCAAAGTTGTGGAGAGATTGGAACTCTCATACACTGTTGGTGGGACTATAAAATGGTATAACCATTGTGCCAAATGGTATGGTGTTTCCTTAAAAAACTGAAAATAGAAATACCATTTAGAAATACCATTTGAACAGCAAT